GTGAAGGGTGTTAGGGAATTTCAACCAGAGGGTGCGGTGGGTTGTAGGGTGGGGATCGTCGTATTTACCGATACGCCACTTAATTCCGTACAATATTAAGGTCGTATATTATAATATATAGTAGCTACTTTTGCAAGCCTTATTATTATTTTTATTATTCATTGGCGAGAAGAAAAAAAACTTTATCGTTTATACTGTAATAATATTACAATATCGTTACACTAAAGAATAATACTTACACCGCGTATATTCTCTGGTACAAAGTTGAGATCGTTCGAGGGACGGCCGAATATACAGATAAGTTTTTAGGAAGCTGACAACTTTTACGATATTATAATATTATTGTAACCGCGAGACGTAAGGTTTTATAAACAGCCACAAATTTCGTAAAACAAAACGGACAAACTTGTAAACAATTGAAATTATCAGTTGTTCTACCCTCGGAATTCGAAACAATAGAACGTTTCATAAAAGTATTTTATAATCTCTCTCCATCAATTTATCACTTTTTATTCACTGCATAATATATGTCTACTGCATGTACCTACTACAACAGTGATCAACAAAATAACTAAAAGTAACTGCGGTATAACGTACGAAATTCGAAAGTTATCAAAAAGCTCAATCAATAAACATGTGTAAAAATAGAACCCGAGGTGGGCAGGAGAAGAAAGCTGTGCCATAATCCCTTCTCTCAAATCCACCCCTAGAGAGATTTGTGACTTGCGTACGTATATAATAATATATTATAATATGTTATCGTCAATATATTATTATGTAATTTAGGTAATAATGTATATTACTAGCTAATATAATTTAATTAAAATATATGCCTAACATTAATAGACGATATTGTCAATGCCTAGGCATCAATAGACAATATACAGAGAATGCTGTAAAAATTAAATATTTTGTTAGTGTAATGACTATGAAATTATCTTAACCTCTTTAACTATACTGCTAAGACAATATTGATAATTTCAATGATTATTAAAATTCAATAAATAATTAATATATGAGCTGATCCCACTCAATTCGTTGCCCTTAAAAAATGACAACTCTTAAAAAAATTATGATTGTTCAACTCCTTTTGAGAGTAACTCGCTGCAGTAAGTGTAAATCAGGCTCCCTGGTAGGCAATCCAACTACGTTGGATCGCAAACAAAATGCAACGCAGCCACCTTTGTAGGCCATTTGCGAACATTTAAAGTGCATTGGGCTTAGAAGAAAAGAGTCGTCGATTTCCTTATTTATTGCTATAGAGAAAAGAGTTGTTGACAGTAATTACTAATTCTACAAGCTTTTAAAGAATTAATTTTTAAGGTCTATTGATATATTAGATAAATATATTGTACATCTACATCGGTCACGATTGAATGGATTAATTTTTCAATTATATGAGACATGCGTTTTATACCGTTATATAATATAAGAAAACAATATTTTACACTTAGGTATAATGCTCGTTTATACGACACTATATTATACTTATATATATACAATATTAGTAAGGCGTTCAACGTTTTAGCGGTGTTGTCTAATTTCATTTGCGAACACAATTTATTATTTCACATTCAGTTTTTCTCGTATATTTGGTGTGAAAAGGTGTTATAATAGTAAGTATTTTTTTTTTGACGAAAACAAATTCATTTTAACAAAATCTTTTTATCGTAGTGAGCTTTTGCTGGATTCGCTTACACTGTGCAAACGGGCTATTCATTTGAATATTATAAATTTTCTATTATACCTGTCTAATCAGAATAATATTATATTATTGAAAATACACTGTATTGTATTTAATAATCAGAGTCACCGTATAATTTTGTCGTTAAAAAAATGCCTTTTTCGAATACACCTCCGACCGACTTGCCGACTATTGCGAGTGTGTCTGTGCGGCGTGCGCGTCAGTGTGTTGTATAAACATAATTATATTATAAATATCATACGAAATTCCAAACGCAGCCGACGACGAGACGTCCCCAGGCGAACGTGTATTATATTATATTTTTATTATTATTATTATAGTATAGGTGAGTGTGTGTGTGTGTGTGTGAGATATTATTATTGTTACAGTGGAAAACGACAGAGTAAATGTTTTTAAATATTCAAAAACCTCTTTAAACCGTCCGGACGGAGGGTCGTGTGTGGTGCGTTCACGACGATTCGGAACGGTGATATAAAAACGGGGAAAAAACCAACATCCGTTACACGGGGGCAATAGTATTTTTCGCGGACACACACCCACACTTTGAATGGACTGTATTATTATTATGTAGGTATAATATGTACGTACAACAATAATGGTTATAATATATATATATATATATGTACAATACAACAACGACGTACGAAGTCGGAGCCAGGCATGGTTAAACCCATATTTCCGCCGTTTTTATTGTTCTTCGATGTGTACAACTACTACAACTACTGCACTCAGAGGGCGTTAAATAAAAGCTTAGGTTTTCCGACCAGCGTCTCTGTACGATGATGATAATAATAATAATATACGCCCGCACACTGCAGTCACACATAACTATAATATTAACGTGCATTAGTCCGTTAGGATTTGGGTCGGTTTTCATCGGCGTAAAGCTTATCGAAATTGGTACACGGCGTATTATATTTTAGCGAATAAGAAGAAAACTCCACTCTGAAGTGTTATAATTAAATTATGAATGATTAAAAATACTTTTGAATTAAAACGGCCACTGGCCGTTGGGAAGGCTCTGCCTCCTCAAAAGTCGTCCGAGCTTCTATTGCAATATTATTTTCCTTATCACACTATACTGTCCAAATAACTGTCAAAAGAATATTGTATATGTATTTATAGAATATTTGCTTGTTAATATAGATGTTTTGACGGAAAAACATTCCTTATTTTCCTTGAACTACTTCTTGTAAACTAATAATTGTCATTATTTAAAAATTAAATTATAGAATATCGGAGAGCTCTTTTGCTGCATAGCCGGCTTAAATTCAATAAATTCAATAAATCATTGTACATTGTATCTATACGAGAAAACAATTCCAAGCAATGGAGATGTACCATTATATGAACTTAAAACGCTTGTCAAATAAAATACATATGGTCTTTTCAATATTCTTAGACCTTTGTAAATTGTTATTATTTGAATTTAAAGTAATTATTCACCTCTCCCCTCTCCCCCCACCATATGGTAGTTCCCGAATTCTGCCTATACGTGTGCCCATTTTTTCATTACTACTTTAGGATAATATAATATTAATTATAATATTCCACTCAAAAATTAACAGTGTGAAATTGTTGTAAAACAATTTGTTTTATATGGACAATAAAAATTGTTCTTTAAAAACATTGGAATTATTACTGATGTTACGGTTGTGTCACTTATAAGAGGGTGACGAGCATATTATGCAGATATTTTTGGACTAATCTAACCTATCCTAACCAGTATAGGTTGAAATTTACAATAATTTTAGAGGAGGTTGATATTCTGAAATACTTTATTGCAGGTCTAAGACGTTCTCTGCGCTTTCAAAAATCATATTACCTTTAATACTACGAAAAACCGAAAAGTGATTTATATTAGACATAAATCATCTTATATGATACATTCATACAAATACGAGTAATATGTTTTTGTATTATACTATCATGAATTTTCAATTATTAATGTAAATAGATAAGAAGCACAGGGGGATAGAAGTTTTTTTGTTGTAAAATTGTACTTTTTTCCGTTTTATCAACATTGAAAATTATTATTTAATATTTATTATTTGCGGTAGTGAACACTTTATGCTTTTGAAGGGAGCTAATTTCTCGGGTTGTACGTTGGGGAAGAAAGTATATCTGTCGAGAACAACCAATTTTGGCCAATATAGCGACCGGTAGGTACATCTTCACGTGTTTATTGTAATATCTGATGGACAACTTTGACAGGTAGGTGCCTATATATGACGGACATGGGATAATATATACTATAATGTGATGGGTTGACTTTTGACGTACTTATGTTTGGTACAACGACAAAAGTCGTACCGTTGACGGTAAATTTTCGTGGTGGGTGGATGAGGGTGGTCGGGTATATAAGACCCAGAAGGTAATTTACAAACCATTATTATGGAACGTGGCGAACTGTGTAAGTACAACGTGACAGAGTTACAATAATATTATTATGTTGACCGGTCAACGCCAGACTGAACTGATGGCTGGGTGGTGTTGGACGAGTGGTTTTATGGATTTCAAACGTCATCTCTGGCTGAGCGACCAACAAACATTTAACCAATACCACGGTCGGGGTGTATTACGTTATTATTATTGTACCTATAACCATATGAATTATTCAAGCTGTAAATTAATTCCCAAAAGTTAAGATAGGCTCAACTATGGAAATGTCCCGGTAGATTGTGGTTAATGAACGATACCGTGATTAAAACCTCCAGTGTCCAACTTAGGAAGGGGATGCAATGCACGGGACATCAATTTTGAATCTTTTTTTAAGACAAAAAGTTGGTGTATACATTATCCAACTAGGTGTAGTATGAATTATGAGAAAAATAAATAATAAATTTACCACCGCCGTTTATCCTAAACTGTTACATGGACTCAGTTTTTTCACTATACTTCAATTATACTTCTGACTCGGTTTAATTGAGTACTAAATTCAAACTTTTCTTTTTTAATACCATCTTCATTATTATCAAACACCAAAGAACATAATATAAATAATAATAATGTACTATATTGTATAGGTATTTATAAATAGAATTTTTTTTTAAAGCGGCCTTCAATATTAGTGTCTGCACCCCGGCCTCCCAAGTCTTAGATCCGGCACAGATTACAACGTGGCCAATCAGAAGACAATAAAAGACATAAGACACAAAAGTAACTGCCAAGTGGCAACTTCAAGGATCTCAGCAGCCCTTAGATCGCCAACCCGCCCTTCCCACTTTGTCCGGATATCAAGCGACGACACAATAACAACAACAATAACAAAATGATCGTCATGACGTTTACTCACGCGGCGTGCGCGTCCGGCGGCGCTATTGGCGCCATAAAGGCGACGCAGGCCACAAGCCATGCCGTCGTGGTCACCGTGTGCGCGGCGCGGCCGGTCATCGCGGCTCGGGCGTGGCGGCGTGGTCGTCGTAGCAGCAGCAGCACGCCGTCACCATCGCCGCCGCCGCCGCCTTAACCGTCTTCGGCGTCGTCCTCGTCCTCGTCTTCAGCAGCAGCCCTCCGGTGAGCCGTCAAGCGGACGCGTAGAAGGACGTCGTCGTCTGTGTTGTCGGTGAGGGCGATTTACATAATGGTCGAACGGAAAACAGAAAGAGGAAACCAGACCGGAAAAATACAATTTATGATAATAAAGGCGTCTTGCGCGCGTGTTTTGTGGTCGACTATTGAGGATTGGATGATTGAAGATTTCTAGGAAAAATTAGAAAAAACCAATTCGACGAGTGTGGCGAATTATACGTGACGGCGGCGGCGGAAACGACTATTACAACAACAGCGACAACAACAACAACAACAGTGGTCGTGTGCGCGTCGTGGTCCGCCGTGCGTTGTCTCCGGTGCGAACGTTCCCGGAGATCTCCGGGCATTCGAGCAGTGCTTACCCCCAAGCAGCTGCTTGGCGGCGGCGGCGGTGGCGGCGGCGTACGACGACGCCCGCCCCGCCGCAGGGGTGCCGCCCGGCGCGCACCGCCGCGGAATACGCGAAATACGGCACAAGCGCGGCGGCGGCCACCGTTCGGCGCGCCGGGCACGCCGCCGCCGTATTGATTCAACGGGCCGACCTCTCCCGCCGCCACTGCCCGCGCGTTGTCGTTAAACTTCTCTCGGCCCGCGAACACTGTACACACACACACACACACACACACACGCTCTCCGGCGCGTCTCCGTCGACCAAAATCTCTAAACGTAAACGACACAAGTACCCACTCCCCCACCCCCAAAGCAAAACCGAAGAAATACGACATGGTGCGGATTCTCACCTGCAAGCATGTTCATCCCCTAAAATTTTTTCCTCCTGTAAAGAATTTATTCAAATTCTGATTTTTGAAATTTTAAGCACACTTTAGGACCATTGTGTTATTATTATTATTATTATTATTTTCATACAATCGAGTTTTCCACGCAATTCGAGGAGTGGCCTGAAATAATAGCGGCCGCAACTTATTTTAACCATAGTAGGTTAGTAACCTTGTTTGGGCAGGTATACTGTATAGTAATTAGGAACCAGATGAATTTTCAGAAAACATTAATTATCATTATTATTAAAACTCGAAAGAGTAGTTACTGAGTTTTTTTTTTAAATTGTTTATACAACTATAAAATATATGTAATATATTTCATTCTACTAGGTATAATTTTCAAATAATCTTAGACTCTATAGTATCCAAACTCACTAACATGGACCAATTATAGACCAAGGTATGGAGAACCGGAGGGGGGACTGCGTTAGCATTACGTCACCTAAATAAAATGTTATTGATATTTATAGAAAAAAAAAAACTAGAAAAATTGAAATTTGAAATTGTCCGTAAACAGCTCAAAACAAGTCAATATATTTTAAAAATTTTATCAAGTAAATCTCAAGTGCCTACTATTCGTTTTTGAAATACAACAAAATAAGGAAATCACTACATGAGAAATCGAGTGAATGTCCAATATTGTATAAGTCTTAACTTCAAACGCTCGTAAAAATTAAATTTTACTTTTTATAGACATTTTTTTTGATAAAGGTAGATAACCTTTTAGGGAATCGTGTATTACATTTTAAAACCATAGGTTAAAAAGACATTTTTTTTGGAATTTCCAACTCAAAATAATTGTTGAAATTTGAACTTTAAATACTTATATAAAAAAAAAAAATTGTGATTGGAGTTTTAATATTTTTTAAATATCATTGTAACAACCTATTAAAAGCATTGTAATACATTTTCTATCTTTTTTACCCAAACTTTTATTGAGATTTATAGACAAATAAAAACTAAAAAAATCTGAAACTGAAAATGTCCATAAACAGTTCAAAACAAATCAATATTTTTATTTTTATTTAAATGTTTGGTGAAAATTTCATGTTTCTACGGTCATTTGTTTTAGAGTTACGCCAAAACCCAAAATCAATTTTGTCGAAACAGATTTGTCTAAAATTTGCGTTTTCCCTTAATTTTTATGTTGTTCTTCACTGTGCTTTTGAAAACTATTGGGAATTTTAAATTTTGACTTGCCTAATGCACCAACTAGATTAATTTTCCCATCGAACAAGATACTTTTGAAAAATGGAAGTAGTTTTACTGCTCTGAACCTTGATGACAGATACAAAAAAAAAACACACACACACACATCATTGTAAAATCAATACATTCATCGTTTTGATTAGAATCTAAAATGGGAGTGAGCATACTTTGTGACTAGTGAATCACTCTGTATATGATATAATATATAGTGTAATTAGATTTGCACCCCGAAAATGACGTGTGTATATTAATTATGTAAATAATGACGACATCGACATTATTGTACATTATTAATAGGTACCTACGTGGTATACTGGTATACTGCAGTAATGTTTCGATATAATTCAAACTGTGCCTTAAAGTTATAATATAATATTATATAGTATTTGTAGTAATGTAACTCGACTAACACAAAATTCCCATTTATTTTTATGCTCCTTGAAATTCGAGTGGTCTATACTCGGCTGTACATTCACTATAGGTACATTATATAATATAGACAATATGGCTATGTATTTCTGACAATATAATGTTATGGTTATCGTCTGTCGACCGAAATCTTTAAACGTAAATTGCACAAGTCCCCCCCCCCCCTCAAAACCGAACGTTGAATACTATTATAATAGGCACCTACGCGATAAGATTTCAGCTTCAAAATTGTCACGCTTATACCTCGACTTTGACTGGGAAACGATATAATCATTATTGTACTCCTCTAATTATTATGTTAACATAAAATCATGAAGACAACATAATATAATATTTATTATTTATTATTACTTGAGTACTATACAGTTGTGTCTCGATATAAAGTACAATACATTTGTTACGTAGAAAAAATATGTCGTTAAAAAGTATTACAATTTTTTTCTATTTCAAAAATATAAAATTAGTATACCTACTACGATAGTCTATAATCTATAATATATTATAAAAGTAAACTCAGTCGATTTTTGCAAATTATAGAATGCCAAGATATTAGTATAATAACATTGCCATAACATTGCCATATCATTACAACACCAATGTCTATTTATACCAATTATCATAAACTATTATCTTATAATTCCTAAGTATCATGATGTTTAATAACTCGGAAGCTACTCGTTCGGATTTAAGTTTAAATATATCAACATTTCCAAAAAAAAATAATCTGGTTCCCTAATTAATTTATAGTAAAAAACGAAAGTTTTCAAATTCGAATTTGAATTATTTTTTATGTAAAATTGTAGAGAGCACGTTTGGTGCATCACGCTGCACCTAAATTATATGATGTACATATTTTTTCGACTCAGGGAGACAGTGAACATGTAGTCGGTGAGATTATAGTATATTATAATTAGGGTACAGATTACTATGGAAATAAACATACATTATAATTCTATTGAATGCAGATTTCTTAATTCTGATTAAAAACAATTCGAACGTTTCTTAACACCTCAGATAAAATAAATCGTATTCATCATAACATGTTCGCATATTATTTTGATGAATATCTCGTATCTCTGTCCTTAACCTATTCACAGACATATTGACGATTTTCATTTTTCTGTGGTAAATACGTTCGGTCTGTGTAGTACACTGCAATTATCAACAACGTCTTATATTGTCGTTATAAATAAGTTAAAACAGGTATAATACTTTTGATATCACCACCATATTGTGATATATCATACAATCCATATTATTCTAGTAGTCTAGTGACTATAGTGCCTATATTTCTCCTTCGTCCATATTTTTTTTCCGCTACAATAATATTCAGTATAATTATCTTTTTTATGCGATAACAATCTTGAAAGCGAATGTCGATAGTAAAAACTTATTGTTAAATATTTCGTTTTCGTATTCGTAATAATATTTCGGCAAAAATAATAACATAAATATTTTCGTGTTTTAACTTTTTTATTACACACGAATCCACGACCTAATTACCGTTATTATATTATTATGATCGTTCGGCGTGGGCGTACATCATGGCTGTATATAGTAAGTTGTTCTCGTAATATTTCAAACGTTTATTTGTCGCACCACATTACGAGGGCAGGCGGCGGGGAGGGCGAAACCGAAAATTTCGCATCTCACGTCGCCTTCGTCGCGCGGGTGCCCATTCATACGGAACGAGTTTCGGGCGGCGGCGACGACGACGGCGACGACGACGACGCACCCGCGAGAGGTACACCCAGGCGCCGAGCCCACCCATGTCGCCACCCACGACCGTCGCCGCCGCATCCGCCGCCTGGGTTCGACCCGGCTCTCGTCCGAAATGGTATATTTTGTCTTCAATGGAAAAACGATCAATGGACAGACGAAAACAATGGCCAACGAGCGTTCTCACCGCCACCGTCGCTTTTTTTTTCCCCGGCGAACGCCCTTCATATTATTATTATTTACCTACAAAACACATTTTTTTCGTTCGACCGCTTCGGAGTCACTATAAAATATTAGCGGAGAGAATAATACATTATAATGATGGTGTACATCGAATGGTTGTATAACTTTACCTATGTATACCTCGGGCGGCAATATTATAATATAGGGGATGAACTCAACTCGGTGGCGTAGACAGGATTTCTTAAAGTGGGAGGGGGTGAGTAATAAATAAATCTTGTAAAATTAAACTCGTATTGTCTGTACTAATACATTTTATACTTATTATGTCACCAGATATAAGAAATATAATATTAAATACATCTTTTTTAAAAACTTTTTATTTACATTAATTTATTGGAAACAATACTTACATCTTAATGAGGTACTTATAATATAACATTATTATTGTGTCTAATAGGTCCAAAGCCAATTCAAAAGATTAATTTTCTGGGTGAATTTTTTTTTATAAAAGCGGTTTCAATATTTAATTTTCTACATAATATG